CTGGTTACTCAGGAACAATTCCTGGATATGTGCAGTGATGATGTAAAACAGTATTTGTGGGCAGGGATCTCTAGCAGGAGGGTCTCTGCCGATTGAAGTCACTAAAAACAGGATTGGGGACTTCAACAGCAGAGTCCAGGGAAGGGGTAGGGACGGTTTTATGGCCTGCAGCATGCAGGGGGTCAGACCAGATGATCATAATGGTCCCTTCTGACCTTAAAGTCTATGAGTCTATGAAAAAGGTAAATGCAGTTGGTGAATTAGCTGGGTATGCAGACTCTTATGTGCAAGCACAGGCTGCAATTAAACATAAACCACTGGCAGAGGGGTACAGGGTTGGTGGGAATCAGAATCGCCATTTTACCCCAGGGAAAAAGGAGGCTGGGCGTTCACCTCCCCATTCCCCTGTTACTCGTCCCAAATTTCCTGCACAAGCAGGGGATCCCAGAAGGTGCTTTCACTGCAATTCCCCAGAGCACCTGAGAAACAGCTGTCCCAAATTAAAGGAGAGTAAACATCCCTTGTCCCATGTTAGTTCAGTTGCCCTCAGCCCTGAGGCCCCAGAGGGCACTCCTACCTTTTATCACACCAGCTTGGTGGCATGGGGCCTAGTGAAGTGGATAGAGAACACATCAAGGTTGTCAAGATTGATGGCATGGAGTGTTTGGGGTGTAGGGACACAGCGGCTCAATTCTCTCTGGTTCGACCACGTGTGGTTCCAGATGTTAGTGTTTTGACGGGGTGTGACAAGTTGGGGATCTGTCTGAAAGTTCCTCTTGATATGAGTATGACTGGAAAATCTACTGTGTCATGAATGTGTATTCACAATACCCTACTAGCCTGAAAAGATGTTTAAGGCCAGGTCTACACTACAAAATTAAGTCGTCCTAATTTATAAAGCCATACAGCCTCTGCACTAATTACATTGCTTGTGGGTGTCTACACTATGCTACTTGTGTCAGTGGTGTGCATCCTCACCAGCTGCTCTTGTACTTATTGTTCTGTCAGTTTGAGATGGTTCCTGAAAGCCAGTAACAGTCAACATAAGCAACGCAGTATCTACACTGACACTGCATCAACCCAACTACATCAACCTTGACTCTTAACCACTTGTGGAGGTAGAGTAAAGTCCGCATAGCTGGGCAGTTACACAGGGGTAAGCTGCCTTGCATCAATCTAACTCTAGAGTAGCCCTAGCCGCATCGCCCGGCGGGAATGGCCCCAACCAGTTAACCATTTAAACAAAAAATTTTAATCATTTAAATGGTTGACGTTTAAAATGGTATTTACATTCCTACTAGATAGCATGTCAGCACCCTGAGTGTGTACCTAGGGACCCCAAGATCAGGGCAGTAGCTGGTCAAGCTCTGAGAGGCTTAAAAGACCTGGGGACCCAGAGGCTGGGTCCTTAATCTAGTGGGCAACTGGAACCTGACCAGGTCTGTGACACAAGCTGATGGACTAAATGACCTAACAGATCTCTTTCCATAGCTCTATGGTTCTGAAGGGAAAAGATGGCCTGTAAAGATTTGGGGAGGGAGCACTGCAGCATAGAGTTATAAGGAGGCCTAATTAAAATGGACATTGCCTAAAGTGAACCTGAAGTGCTTTGCTTGACTAGTCCATTTTAGTCAACCTCCACTTAACTATAGTGGTGCCTGTGTTATACTTAACATACAAATGCTGGTAGGCACATCCATAAGTATGGAAAGACCAAATATACCAGAGTGGCAAACCCTGTATGTTGTAAATATAGGTTTAGGCAAATGTTCAGAAAACACACATACTTTAAACGTACCTTTTGATCAATTTAATACATAAGGCCACTTTATCCCTTAGGGAATTTTTGAACCTGAACACAGTGGCCAGGTCTTCACCTAGAATAAAGGCAATGGAGTCTGTCAAGGTACGTCTACACTACATTAAAAGACCCATGGCATAGCTGCAGCTGGCCTCGGTCAGCTGAATCAGGCTCACAAGACACCGCAGGGGCCAGGAGCGATTGGTGGCGGGTGATATTAAGCCTGTGTCCGACACCCCCCCGCCCCCCCCGTCCAGATCCTGGGGCCCCACAGGCTGGAGCCTGCCACCATGCAGTCAAAGCCTGGGGCTGGAGGAGGCAGTGGGGGCCAGGGATGATGGGGGGGCGGGGGGAGGCGGATAGTGAGCCCAAGGCCGGTGCACTCCACTGCACAACTGGGGGCTGGGATGGAAGCCCTGCGGTCAGAGCCTGAAGCTCTGCAGCCAGAGGAGGTGTGGGGACCAAGGATGATGGGGGGAGGGGGTGGTAAGCCCAAGGCTGAAGCTCCACAGCCAGAGCCTACCACTTGCCACCCCAGGGCTGAAGCCAGAAGCCTGGGCCCCACTGCCTCTGGGAAAGTGGCGAACTCACACCAGCTGCCTGCCCCTCTGCTGTTTGTGGCTCCAGAGGGGGGCAGGGCCCAACCCTAGCTGGTGTCCCTCGGAGGTAGGGTCACTGCTTTGCTTTGCCCCCCCTACCCTACCCCCCCCCATCACCATGCAGGAGGCTGCGGACACAAGAAAAGCCCCCTGGTGGCCACAATCTGCCAAGGTGGCTGCATTTGAGAAACACTGATCTAGACCATCCCTGAAAGGTATTTGTCTAACCTGCTCTTAAGAATCTCCAATGATGGAGATTCCACAACCTCCCTGGGCAATTTGTTCCAGTGCTTAACCACCCTGACAGGAGGTTTTTCCTAATGTCTAACTTAAATCGCCCTTGCTGCAATTTAAGCCAATTGCTTCTTGTCCTATCCTCAGAGGTTAAAAAGAACAATTTGTCTCCCTCCTCCTTGTAACAACTTTTTATGTACTTGAAAACTGTTATGTCCCCCCTCAGTCCTCTCTTCTCCAGACTAAACAAACCCAATTTTTTCAATCTTCCCTCAAGGGAATGTTTTCTAGACCTTTAATCATTTTTAGGTCTCTGGACTGTCTCCAATTTGTCCACATCTTTCCTGAAATCTGGTGCCCAGAATGGGACATAATACTCCAGTTGAGGCCTAATCACTGCAGAGTAGAGCGAAATAATTACTTCTCATGTCTTGCTTACAACACTCCTGCTAATACATCCCAGCATGATGTTTGCTTTTTTTTATTTTTTGCAAGTGTTAAACTGTTGACTCATAATTAGCTTGTGATCCACTATGACCTCCAGATCTTTCTGCAGTACTACTTCCTAAATAGGCATTTCCTATTTTGTGCAACTGATTGTTCCTTCCTCAGTGGACTACTTTGTATTTGTCCTTATTGAATTTCATCCTCTTTACTTCAGACCATTTCTCCAGATCATTTTGAATTTTAATCCTATCCTCCAAAGCACTTGCAACTCCTCCCAGCTTGGTCTCATCTACAAACTTTATATGTTTACTCTCTATGCCATTATCTAAATCATTGATGAGGATACTGAACAGAACCGGACCCAGAACTGATCCCTGCGGGACCCCACTTGATATGCCCTTCCAGCTTGACTGTGAACCACTGATAACTATTCTCTGGGAATGGTTTTCCAACCAGTTATGCACCCACCTTATAGTAGTTCCATCTAGGACAGTATCAAAAGCCTTACTAAAGTCAAGATATATCACCTCTACCACTTCCCCCCTATCCGCAAGGCTTGCTACCCTGTCAAAGAAAGCTATTAGGTTGGTTTGACACAATTGTTCTTGACAAATCCATGCTGACTGTTACTTTTCACCTTATTATCTTCTAGGTGTTTGCAAATTGACTGAAGTTAACCTGATTGGAATAATTCCACAGGTTGTCCTTATTCCCCTTTTTATAGACTGGCACTATATCTGCCCTTTTCCAGTCCTCTGGAATCTCACCTGTCTTCCATGACTTTTGAAGGATAATTACTAATGGCTCAGATATCCCCTCAGTCAGCTCCTGGAGTATTCTAGGATGTATTTCATCAGGCCCTGGTGACTTGAAGACATCTAACTTAAGTAATTTTTAACTTGTTCTTTCCCTATTTTAGCCTCTGATCCTACCTCATTTTCACTGGCATTCATTCAGTTAGTTGTCCAATTGCTACTCAACTTCTTAGTGAAAACTGAAACAAAACTTATTTGGCACTTATCCCATTTCCACATTTTCTGTTATTGTTTCCCCCTACCCTATTGAGTAATGGGCCTACCCTGTCCTAGGTCTTCCTCTTGCTTCGAATGTATTTGTAGACTGTTTTCTTGTTACCCTTTATTTCTCTAGCTAGTTTAATCTTGTTCTATGCCTTGGCCTTTCCAATGTTTTCCCTACATACTTGTATTTGTTTATATTCATCCTTTTTTCCCCACTTTTTGAGGACCTAGGTTCCACTTTTTGTAAAACTCTCTTTTGAATTTCAGGTTATTGAAAGTCTCCTGGTTGGGCCAAGGTGGTCTCTTGCTATACTTCCTATATTTCTTATGCTGTGGGATAGTTTGCTCTTATGTCCTTAATAGTGTCTCTTTGAAAAACTGCCAATTCTCTTGAACTGTTTTTTCCTTTCGACTTGTTTCCCATGGGATCTTACCTACCAAATCCCTGAGTTTGCTAAAGTCTGCCCTCTTGAAATCTATTATCTTTTTGTACTGTTTTCCCTCCTACCAGTCCTTAGACTCATGAACTCTCGCATTTCATGATCGCTTTCACCCAAGCTGCCTTCCACTTTAAAATTCTCCCTCAGTTCCTCCCTATTTGTCAAAATCAAACCTAGAACAACCTCTCCCCAGTGGCTTTCTTCACCTTCTGAAATGAAAAATTGTCTCAAATACATTCCAAGAACTTGTTGAATAATCTGTGCACTGCTGTGTTACTTTCGCAAAAGATGTCTGGGTAGTTGAAGTCCCCCATCACCACCAAGTCCTGTGCTTTGGATGGATACACTAGTTATGATAAGCATTAAAACCATCTTCTCTTGTTGAAGCAGGAGTAATGTTTAAAACATTTTACATTCTGTTTCTTAATTAAAAGCAACAAGATATACTTAATATACTCACCATACTAATGAATGCTGGGTTGTTTATCAAGCTTGCCATGTCAAAACTCAGTCCTGTTCCAGTCTGTAAACAAATAATATCTGAAGAGTACTATGTCTAGGAAATGCCATTTGAGTTATTAAAAAAAACCTCACTGAAAAGAAAAACTAATTAAGGTAACTTACAGGACTGGAGAGGTCTCTTAGCTTCTGTTCAGCTATTTTCATATTTGACTTGTAAGAGTCATTTTCTGGATCAAGAACCAGTGCTTTTTGGTAACTGGTAATTGCTTCTTGGTATTTGTTCATAGAGGTCAGGGCCAACCTAGAGTGAAATAAAGAGAGCCAGTATGAGCGCATCAAAGTAGTAATGATACTAACAGTTTTGGATCTAATTAGCACAGGAGTAAGTGCGAGAATCTCACAACTAACTTAGATCCTGATCATTCCGAAATACATGTAAGTTTACTACCAGAATGTAAGTATTGATGCATATTGACTGGTGCTGGCATTTATTTTTGTCATACCACTTTCTGCAGCACAGATGATTGCCCAAGAACTCAGTCTTGCATATGTTCCACATACAGGCAAGCCTTATGAAAACTTTTTGCCACCAACAGAAATGCTAAATGCTTCTGGCTCTATTCTAGGCCATGCCTTCACAAGTTATCAATTAGTGAAATACACAAGGGTGCTTCTTAGAGCTCTGTAACCACCTCTACACAGAGTTGCTCTCTCAAGTAGGGCTCTAATCTGATACCCAATTCAGGATAACAGTCCTGCAATCATTTTTAAATGAACAGTCCCCAGGCCCACCTGTTAATCTTCCAAGAGTGGGAAGTTGGAACTCACATGGGAAATTCTCCAAGAAAAAAAACCCATTTACTTACCATAGTAATTACAGCTCCCTGAGTTGATGACTACCCATATGGATCTATGCTCCCTGCTCATTTTCTCCACTTCTTTGCAGTCTCTTATAGAGGGATTCCTAAATTAGTGATATGAACTAAAAGACGTTTGGGGCAACGCAATCTCTTTGGAACCCAGAATGGGAAGGAGAGGAGCAGCAAGCTGCCCCAATATACACTTCTTAGGCAAATTCATAGAATATCAAGATTGGAAGGGACCTCAGGAGGTCATCTAGTCCAATCCCCTCCTCAAAGCAGGACCAGTCCCGAGACAGATTTTTGCCCCAGAGCCCTAAGGGGCCCCCTCAAGGATTTGGCCTGCTAAACCCTGAGTTTAGTAAGCCAAAGTCTTCTAAGCTCATGCACTAGTGGCATGCTAGAGCATTATCCACATAGACAATCATCTTGACAAAGCACAATTACTACAAGTAACTGTTTTATATTTGTTGTCCTATATGGTTTAATACAGGGGTGGGCAAACTTTTTGGCCTGAGAGCCACATCAAGTTTCGGAAATTGTATGGGGAGCCGCTTAGGGGAGGGGGTCGTGGCCTGGCCCCCGCCTCCTATCTTGCCCCCCACCCCAGGGACTCCGGACCCATCCAACCCATCCTATTCCCTGACAGCCCTCCTCCCCCCCCCGCCCCCCAGGACTCCTGCTCCATCCATACTCCCCCACTCCCTGTCCCCTGACTGCCCCTGGACCTCTGCCACCCCATCCAACCCCTCCTCTCTTTCCTGATGGCCCCTGGGGGACCCCTGCCCCATCCAACCACCCCTTCTCCCTGTCCCCTGATTACCCCCGGCCGCCCCATCCAACTCTTTCCTGACTGCCCCTATTCAACCCCCTATTCCGCCCCGATCACCCCACCCCATATCCACTCCCCTGCCCTCTACCCAACCCTCCCCCACACTCCGTGCCCCCTTACCGCGCTGCCTGGAGCACCGGTGGCTGGCAGCGCTACAGCCGTGCCGCCTGGCTGGAGCCAGGCTACGCCGCCGCCACCACAACGCAGCTCAGAGCACCAGGTCAGGCCGGGCTCTGCAGCTGCGCTGCCCCAGGAACTCACAGCCCCGCCGCCCAGAGCATTGCGCCAGCAGCAGGGCCAGCTGAGGCTGTGGGAGAAGGGGGACAGCAGGGGAGGGGCCAGGGGCAAGCCTCCCGGGCCAGAAGCTCGGAGGCCAGGCAGTTTGCCTACCCTGGGTTTAATACAATTTGTCCCTCTTCTAGTTGGGTTTCATGGTTATGTACTATGACACTTCTAATATATAAGGGTTTTCCACTTTGTTCATAGCTGCTACTTATGGCCGCTCCATTGTATCTAAGATACTGAATACTCAATCAGACCTACATCTGAATAGATGAAAAAAGTTCAGTGATTATTCTGATATCTTAATATTTTTCTCCGTGTTCTGTTAATATTATAATCTTAGCAGTATAAGAAACTGAAGTCATCTAATTTTTCTACCTGCTTAGTCATGATGATGGAAAACCCCAGTAGGCTACATCTGAGGGTCATTAAAGAGACCATTCTCCAGAGTGCCAAAAGGAATCTCTTAAGTAATTTATTGATCATATTATTTTTAGATTCCCTAAATATCATGCTAGCTATGCCAAACTGTTAAATTATGTTAATTTAAATTATAGGGGATCCTCGTTATCACCAAAGTTGAACAAGTAATTGTCCACTGCACTTCAGACCACAGACTTTGGCACAGACACATTTACAGAAGCCAGTACTATGCTGGCCATAGTTCTCCCTTCAGATTAGGGCCAAGAGCCCTTTCAAACATGGAGACATTCATAAAACTTCAGGTAGTAAAGATGCATAATCCCATTTGATCCTTCCAGACAGCTCTCGCTGTGCTATATTCACATTTTTTTACTAGATTCAACCATTAGTATTCACAGAAGCAGCATTCATATTTTCATTCAATATTCAGAATTAAAATTCATGTTCTGAAATTTAAAAAGCTAAGGACCAAAGTCAGACCTTACATGTACATATACAGAGCTCACTGACTTCAATGAGAGCCATGTATGTGCCTCTGAGGGAAGAATTTGGCACTAGATATTTGTTTTATTATTAAAATTTCTTTAAAGAGGTTTACCAGATGAACTTCACTCTTATTGGTTAGGGGGTCTGATTCTTTATATACATATAGATGCATGGAATGTCTGACCTGCTTTGGCATTTATGGGTCAAGGTAATCACAGTCTTGCCTACAAGTTATTACAACATCAGCCAGAGAGGCTTGTAATTCAAGTGGTAAAGGCCTGTATTTCTGGTGTCAAGGGTCCTAGTTTCTAATTCCCACACTCTAAGCATGCAATGATTAATTGCCCGCCCCAGTTATGACAGGACAAAGAAGACACAAAGCAACTGTATGGGCACTCTGGGAAATATCCCCATCACAAAAGCGCCTCTGCACAGGGACTATTGAAAAAAGTCATAAGGATGAATTTCCCTAAGTGTGCAGATGTGAATTCGTAATAGTATGTACTTAAGAGTGTGATGTTAGGGTCAGAAGAATTACTAAATAAACAGCACTTTCCACCTCAACAGATCTGCTTCCTAGGTGTATTTAAGTGAGAAAAATAAGTTTGTACTCCTGTTAGCTCTGCAAACCCAACAGTTTTGCGAGTGGGACCTGGATTCTATTCTCTATTCATTATCATTAACAGAACAGTTGTTGTTCCAGTTACAGAATAATTACTGGTGATTATGTAGGAGCGAGAAAGAACACAGTTTGACTCCCTCGATTGAGTTTGCAGTGCTGATAAACTGAAGAAAAAAATCTGTAGTGTAAACAGAGCAAATCTGACAGGAAGTCAGTAGGAGAGAACCTGTACATGGAACCTCATGCCAGCTTTAGTCATAGAAAACAACTGCACTTTTAGCACCAGATCTTCAGTCAACACAAACTGGAATTATGCCATTGATTTAAATAGAGCTACACTGATTTACACCTTCCAAAGATCTGGCCCTTAATACTTATATAAATCTGGATTATCTTACCCCATTCTCCCATATGCTTTGCTGTATTTTGGATCTATTGCTATTGCGCTCTCACAGTCTTTTATTGCTTCATTGTAGTTGCTGAGCTTGCTGTGAGCAGCAGCCCTAAAGTAGGGGGAAAAGAACATATTTAAGAAAAATCTGAGCATCCAGATTTAAGCCCCAAAGACCACACTTAACATTAAGAACATGTTTAATCCTACTGACTACTCAGTTACATTATAGAAAATTTGCTCACCTAGCTTGACTTCAGCAGGACTGTTCAAGTGCTTAAAGTTAAACATGTGTAAGTGCCTTACTGACTTAGAGCCTTCAATTATATAGAGTCATATCTTACAAAAAACATAACAGTGTGGAAAAGCGTATGAGAACCAGAATACGGATACACACAAAATACATCATTAAATCAATTGTAACAAGACAAACTGTCAAATGGTAGATTTGGTGATATATGATGACTGTCTAGGAAAACAAGTATGTACAGTCATCCTTTTGCAGCAATAATACTTTGTTTTCACTCCTCACTGTTCAAAGGATCTCATTGATCTCTCTCTCTCTCTCTCTCTCCCTCTTTACCCCTCTACCTATCAGTCTCATATCACAATGACAATCCTTATGTTGAGGTCAATTATCCCTCAGGTGCCTGGCTCCAGGAGAATTGCTAGAGGAGCTAGAAGCTCTACACTGACTGACCATGTATTTGATCTATACTGATTTTTTTTTCAAAGTCTCTGCAGAAATACAATTGTGTGTGTAATGCCACTCATGCTAGTAGGTAAGTGTGGATAAAGAGGCCTAATAATTTCTGAATCACTGAATTATTACTGCACCTTTACCAGGGAAATGCTAATTATTTTTACATATGATTTATGAGTTAAGACAATAGAGTGGCCAAGCGAAAGAGTTCAGATCAGTATTCAAATTCAATCTTTCCCATGGTTTAAGAGTATTCAGAAAAAACATTCCAGCTTGTCTTTCCATAGTTAAAATGCTAGTTTACAGAAGGAGGAATATTTAATTCTGCAAAGCATTTTGTGCTAGTTTTCCATGAAAAATTCTGTGTAAAATGATTTTTTTTTATTTAAACCTTTTTCCTACTATGCCCTCTAAATCTGTCTAGGTTTGATGGAACAAATTACTTCCCTTCCTACTGGGTTGTGTTCATTGTCTTTAATTGTATGAACCGCTTTACAACTGGTCAACCCCACTGAGGTCAATACAGTTGCATGAGTGTAATCAAAGGCAGTATTTAGCCCTGCATGCACTTCAGGTTTTTTTTCATGTTTAGAGACTGACTCAAGGGACCAAATAAGGAATCAGCCTGATTAGGCTCTCCCTTTTTCTTAAGATAAAGTAACCCCTCCCTCCTCTGCTTCAACTTATGTCTGTACCATCCTCAAAACTCCTGGAGCAAAATTCAATCCTAGTTTTAAATGACTTCCACTGGCAGTGTACCCGCTTATGCCTTACAGTACTAACTCATTGCAAGTTGCACATATTTTCCATACTTACTGAATATCAAAGTAGTAGTAGTAGTTACTTTGTATTGCTAATTACACACATTTTGGGATAATTCAAAACCTACTGGAGTTAATGGGAGTCTTTCAATTGGCTTCAGGGGGCTTTGGATCAGGTCCTACATGACCAGTTTACATCTAGAGAGAATTTATGGCACTGCTGTCTTATCAGAGAAAAGATACGGTTCAAACTCTGAACTACTGCCTTAAATATGTAATGCCATCTTAGTAAATGTTGTAGTTCCTCTGTATCCTTGTGCTTGTCTCTATCTACTATATAATTCACTTGTTTAGTAACTAAAAGTAAAATCTGTATTAGAACTGTTACTTTTGCAATAATCCTGGCAAAGATATTTAGCTCCTATATAATGTTTTACACCTTCAAAGCACTTTACAAATATTTTTGCTCTGGAAAATTAATGCATATTAGGCCTGATCCATTAGAATTCCATAGAGTGGATCCCCCTAGCTCAAATGAGCTTTGAAACAGGCCTTTACAAATTTCTTGTGTAGAAGTTGCTTCAAGTTGCCAACATCCGTCACCAAATAAAGTCTTGAAACAAAGTTAAAATCTACACGACAAATATAATGAAGACAAACATTTGAGTATAGTTAAAATGATACATTTTAAAATGTGCATAACCAAACTGGTATAAATGAAATGTTGTTACTCACTGAAAAGGAGGGCTTTTCACTTTACCTTGTTTTGATCTAGTTCGCTTTTTCTTTTTAAAATTATCTCTATGAAGTTTAAGGGATATTTTGTTATTTTTTTACCTGTTACAATAATATACTGCATTATTTGGATCCAGCTCTATAGCATGAGTATAACAATCCACTGCAGCAACATAATTTTCTTCTTTCATGTGATTATTACCTGAAATAAATTGTAAAAATGATGTTTTAAGATAATTAAAGGTAATTCTAGATCTGAAAGATAAACACAGAGCAGAATCACTACAGTACCTCACAAAGCAGTTGGGACTGGGTTGCCTTTTGTGATTTACTTTTCAGAAAAAAGATTTCGTATTAGTCTGCTGAATATACAGAATGCTTTTTTCATGCAGACTTGTTATCTACAAAGCAGCACGACACTTAATGTTTACAGCCCTCTCAACACTCTACATACTTACCAGGTAGTTCCCTGCTGTTGAGCAGGGAACCAGTTTGATGGGAACTGGCGCAATGGGCTGATCAACCACAATAGCTTAGCTGCAGTTTGGATTGGTCAGGATGGATATCCTAGCAGGTCTCACAACTTAATGAACTAGATGTGGAGACCCTTTTTGATTTAATTCACCCAAAACTTGCCTGTAACTACAACCATAACATGAGGACTCTAAAAACAAGGACAACAACGATGGGCAGGTAAATGAACAGTCCCATGCAGCTACCAGTAGCTCTTTCATGAAGACACTGAGGACATATATACCACAAGTGCCATAAGATGACTCAGATGCAGAAGTATTCACCAACACCTCAGCAGATGCATCACTAGTCAACACTGAGGAGACTAAAAATGTTATGCAGCCAGGAAAGGAAAACCACCAAGCAGCACTAGCACAGTAAAAGGAAAAAGGACCCTGCCTTACTTTTCTCCCCATCCCTTGTACCATGTCTGGCAGCAGTACAGGCCATAATCCCACTCAGGCAGGGAAAAAACTCAGATTTAACAGGAAGAGACTAACAAAACTTTAAGCCCTGGCAAATGGGCCAAGGTAAGAGAAGGAACACAACAAAGAAATTATGAAGGAAGAAGAGTATCCTACAAAGTGTAGAGAGAGTACAGGGAGCTGACATGCTCTAGAAGGCGCTGAGTCCTCTCCATGCAGGACACATGGCTGAATGAGGAAGATCCTTCGGTCTCCGCCATTGGCAGTGAAGGAACCAACATTCCAAATTAACAGAACCATACAGATTTTTCAACTCTGTTATAACTGATACACAATGAGGTTACTTGTGGCAATATAGTATGAAAAGTTGAATCCTAAATATTTCACATATTAGCAAAGTCACTTCCATTTGGAAGGAATGCATAATCTTCACAGAACCAGGTGTAAGTGTAACAGAGAGTAGAGTCTAGTAACGTAGCTAATGGATCACAAATTAATTTCAACAATAATGTAGTTTGAAATAAATGACAGGCCTAGGTGACATTTCACTAACTTTTCAGCTAGTTGGTAAATTCTCTCTTTAGTATTGGGGGTGAGTCAACAGGTTGCTATGGATGCATAGACTGGGCAGGTCCATCCAGTGTGGCTGCAGCTGTGACCGAGATAGACCCTGCAGAGGGGCAGTTCTCATCTCAGACAATTACTGAAAACAGCTAAGTATGTTTCTGTGTTTCATAGATTACAAAACAGAAGGGAACATTGTGATGATCTTATCTGCCCTCCTACATAACACAGATCATGGCACTTCCCCAAAATAATCCCTAGAGCACAGTTTTTAGCAAAACATCCAATCTTGATTTACAAATTGTCTGTGAGAGAGAATCTACCATGACGGATGGTAAATTGGTCCAGTGGTTAATTACTCTCACTGTTAAATTCACACCTTGTTTCCAGTATGAATTTGTCAAGCTTCAACTTCCAGCTACTGGATCATGTTAAACCTTCTCTGCTAGATTGAAGAGCCCATTATTAAATATTTATTTGTTCCCCATGTAGATACTTATTAGGGATGTAAAATGTTAACCAGTAAGCATTAGTCTTAGTGGTTAACCCACCTTAACCATTAACCCCCAGGCCGGCCCACCTGCCAACCCCAGCAGCCCCGCGCTGGCCGGCCGGATCGGCCCCATCCAGCCAAACCCAACCCCAGCCACGTCGGCTGGCCAGAGCAGCCCCAGCTGTGCCGGCAAGCCGAACCCGACCCCAGCCCCCCTCCCTTTAATCAATTAACCGTTTAAATGAAATATTTTAATCATTTAAATGGTTAACTTTTTAAATGATATTTACATCCCTAATACTTATAAACTGTAACCAAGTCACCCCTTAACCTTCTGTAAGCTAACTAGATAGACTCAAAAGGCTCAATCGTTGTAAGGCATGCTTTCTAATCCTTGAATCATTCTCGTGGTGCTTCTCTGAACCTTCTCCAATTTAACAACATTCTTCTTGAATTGTAGACATCAGAATTGGGCACAGTATTCCAGCAACAGTCACACCAGTGCCAAATACAGAGGTAAAATAACCTCTCTACTCCTGAGATTCTCATTTATGCATCCCAGGATCGCATTCGCTCTTTTGGCCACAGTCTCTCACTGGGCACTCATGTTCAGCTGATTATCCACCACAACCCCCAAATCTTTTTCAGAGGCACTGCATCCCAGAGCCTCACTGAACACTGACAAATGCATAACTGGAAAGCAGTCTGTCTTACCTCTGGATTAGTATAGTTAAAATAGGTATTAGTGTTATAAGAATGTGCTTAGTGTTTAGACTTAATGGAATACTGACTGTATTAATCCTAATTATAATATCTGTATCCCATGGTATAAAGTTATATTGAGTGTTAGCATCGTAAACCTCTAATTGTGTAACCTACCAAAGAGGAAAAGAAGCATTAATTAAGGTAAAGTGCTCGTTCTTCACATAAGATGGCCCACTGTAGACAAATGAGGCATTGTGTAGGACCAAGGGAGAGACACCTTGTTGACTGCATTTCTAATTCCCTCCAGGAAGGGGAAACCTATACATTAACTCACCCCATCAGCTTGGAATCTGGGGTGAAGGGGAGAAAAAATCCCTGACAAGGAGAAACTTGTCTCTTTATGCTGTTTGGTCTCTGAGGGGCAAAGATTTCTAAGCATAAGCAAGAGATCCCCATGCTGCTTGGCATGGGTAGGCCCTAAAGGTCATGTAAAGTTGCTTATTACAGAAACTTATACTACCTTTTTAAAATCTAAGACAGTAACTCATTTGTGAGTGTATGTTTCCTGTTTTAGCCTTCTAAATAACGCTCTTATTTCTTAGTTAATACATCTTTAGTTAATTTATTACAGGATTGGCTACAGGAGTTGTCTTTGGTTGAGATTTGAGTACAAATTACCTGGGATAAGTGACTGGTCCTTTAGGATTGAGAGTAACCTGAATATGTTGTGCTTTTTGGTGTAAAGTGACCATCTATCACATAGTCAGCTTGCCTGGGTGGCAAAATAGACTGGAATGCCCCACGGGACAGTCTGTGATTCCATGGTAAAACTGTTATAGTGCTTTAGGAGTTCAAACTTGTTACTGGGTTGGTGAAATCTAATTATACACCACACAACGAGTTTGGGGCTTCTGCCCTGGCTTTTGACAGTCTGTCCTGAGGTTGGCACTCATGGTCGGGAGCCACTCCAGACAGTATAACTTTTGGTATAGGTGGCAGGATTCATATGTTACAGGTCAATTGGATTTATAGATCATAATCCAGAGCTATTAAAAGTTAAAACTTGATATTGAGAGTGTTTAAAGGTTAAAGAATAGACACAATGAGTAGACCACAGTCATATTATGGTCTTGAGACAAAAGACCTTGAAATGTTATGTAAGGAGAGGGGAATATCCAATAAACAGAAAACCCCAGATCAGGAGCTAAGCACCCGCCTGCCCCAGATGCCATGGAGATTGCTGCAGTGGGACTGGCTCGACTGCTTGTAGTGGGTAGCCCAGGGAGAACGTAAGCCCCAGAGACTGATGGTGGACCCCCAGATCAAAGAAACCGAAGAGGCTGAGGAGACAGCCCACCACAGATCCATGGAACAACTGGAAGCTCAATACAGAGCTCACACATTACAGCTCAAAGTACTGGAGCAATAAAAGGAGTTTCCTCAACCAGTTTGGGGTTTCTGCCCTGCTTTTTGACAGTCTCCCCTGAGGTTGGCACTCACGGTCATGAGCTACTCCAGACAGGACTGGCGCAACCCATTAGGCGGTCACCTAGGGTGCTAACATTTGGGGCGCGGCGGCTGGATCTTCGGCCGCCCCGGTCGTCAGCAGTATTTCGGGGGTGGGACCTTCCACCGCCTCTGTTGGGGGCGGCATTTCGGGGGCGGGACTTTCCGCCGCCTAGGACGGCTAAAGAGCTGGCGGCGCTCCAGACAGTGTGACACATCCTTATCAATTACACACCTTCATCCTTCAGCTGGTCAGCCTTTTCAATATCTTCTGGCAATGAATCGGAGAGAGGCAACATGTCATTCTACATTTAAAAAAAAAAATCAAAAACAAATAACTAGAAGTATATTCTGATTCAGGTGTAGGCCCTGGCTACATTAATGGCTTCTTCCTCAACCTTCATCCTGAAAGGGGTTGTGTAAACACAGATACCTTTTAGTGATTGCACCATTAGGCCTTAAGTCAGCAAGGGATCATACCATTTCTGTAATACACACTAGACCAAGATAGTTGTCTGTTCCCACTTAAAATCTTACAGCAATATCCCTCTGCCCCAGTAAAGGGGGGAGAAGGGGGGATTTAGTATGACCTCTGATATCCCCATTTTCTTCTTCCCAAGTTTTCTCTCTGCTTTCCTGGTGCCAACAGTATTCTTCGTATGTTGGACCCCTTTGAATTTTAAAAGTATAGCTTTTAGTTTTACCTAAACTGGTGGTGTGGCATGCTTTAAGAGACTACATTTTCTCCATGGGAGGGGATATGCACTGGAGCTGGGGGCAGAGGGACCAGGAAGCTGTGGATGACCTCAATCAGTTTCTAGTCAACTGTCTTTGGAATTGCAAAATGCTTTAAGTGTCACTGAGGGCAAGTATCCTTCATGATAGAAAGAAGCCCATTCTTTTTAGTAACATATTTTACATGGGTTATCTTTGCCTTGACTGAATTTATGTCCTGTCAGAGTCCAAAAACTATCCTGTTCTCCTATCTATTACAGGAATTTCACTTGAATATAATTTTTATCAAGTTTCCACATTGTTTTGACGTATATAACATTTTAAGATTCCACACCATAGTCACAATCTTACTTTATCATTAGTTTAATTATCAATTTTAAGTCTAAAAGACTAAAATCAATTCTTACCTTGTGAAAAGAATTTGAGAACATTTCTGTCAACTGCTGTGGCACTGCAAGATGCGTATCTTCTAGGCTAATCTTAAAAACAGTCTCCAAACACTGAATTGCAACTTCAAAGAAATGAAAGCAAGATTAAAAAAAAATCACTATTTTCTCAATAGAAATGTGTAAATAAAACTAAAAATAAATAAGGCAAAAGTACACTTCCTGACATATTTGTTGGCTAATTAAGCCTAAAAACAAAAGGCAGTTCTTTGGAGAAGTTCCCCTAATGGAAAGAAAAAATAACCTATTTAGTCTCTACTAGTCAACTTTGCACAGCAATAGAGGCAGAAGCTCTTTAGTGTTTATATATAGAGAGCTTAGCCACCAAACTTAATTCCTGATCCAGGCACACTTTTTTTAATACTCTCTTTTTTTTATTTCATTTTTGACCTACAGTGACTAAATTTAAAAACAAAAGATAAAACAGCACATATTATGTAATGTAGATATATATGCTAGCTACACATAAAAAAACTGCTATTTTTATAATTGTCTACTACATATAAAGCCTGAAAGCAACACATTTATGACATTATGTGTAACACAAAAGATGGGCCAATTCTAAACTGAAATATCTAAGTAATAATTACTGTTTTCAAATGTGTACATTTTACTTTGCAAACAAAAGATTTTTTCTAATAGCTGCTTTATTAATCATAGGCTCTCATCCTGCAAAGGAATCCACCTGTGAAATCCCTTGCACTCACACAAAGTCCACTGATGCCCGAGCCTAAGGATCCACATGAGCAGATCCCTTCCCAGGATCAGAGGGCCCCAATCCTCCAAACATTTAAGCAAATTCATAACTTTACTCATGTAAGCAGTTCCAATGATGTATATAGGACTGCACATGAGTGACACGCTTAAGTGTTTGTAGACACAGTCATAGATTGTAATCTTTATATATAGCTTAGAGAGGGTGTCTAATTCATGTATCTTAAGGTTATGGGGCAAGTATTCAACACATTGTGTGGGAATCCACCAGCATGACTCCCATTAAGGTGCTGCTAGTTTTAGACTCAAAACTGAAAAAGGGTATGAAATGTTTTTAAAAAAACCCGATGTGAATAGAAACTTATTCCTACATTTTCTTTTTAATTTAATAAAAACAGGGTGGTTGGTTGTTTTTTTTAATGTAAACCAGAGATAACCTCAAGAAACTAAATTCAAATCAGGGTCTGAACTTCCCAAAAGTTCAGGGTGCATCAGGATCATGGGTGTTGAGGGTCCATTCTAATTTTAACATTCAGATGTGGCATTGTGAATCTGAACAATGATAATATTGAGCTAGTGCAGGGGAATCTGAAAGTAAAACCTACTAAAAATTAACAATAACTGATGTTAAGGAGTCTATTTTTTATTGTCCCAACTGAGAGAAATGCAAAAAGTAAATACCCAGCATAAATGGTAAAATGTAAAATAGATTTATTTAATTATTTCAGTCTTGATAACATACAGTAAGTTATAAGTAACAAAAGTAAGTAAAATTCTTACATATTTTATGCTGACAATGACTCTTTAATATTGATTGGGTACATGGCTAATTATTAACACTGCACAGAAAGTTTGCTTCTGTGTTCTGTAATGTTAACCAGGTTCTGTGCCATTCAGTAAAAAACAATTCAGGGTCTGAGTTAAATTCCCTCTCTTCCTTGCACTAGACCTCCTTGACAAGAAACTTAATTGTGGTAAACTGAATATTGATTTTAGCCTGTTAATGAAGATCTAGGGGTGAGTTGGTGACTTTCAAACCATTTTATTTGTGACCTAAATTCAAATCTTATCTTCTGAGGTGAAAGACAAGTAAAATATCCCACTGCATTTCCATGGAGTACATATTCTGTGGAAAACTACATGCACAATTCCATTAACAATAAGTGAATGATATTAATAGTACTTTTACAATGCCTGTCAGAGAATCAATGGAATAGGGTATCCAGTTTCTCTTGACAATTTACTATGAAGTATTAACTGTCATATATAAATGCTAAATTTAGGCTTTCCCTTGGAGAGTATCTCAGCAACCCATCTGTGACAGAGTGCTGAGTCATGACAGACAAATCAGCACTCTGATCACTGTAGCCTCAATTAGTTTCCCCAGAAATGGCTGATTGAGGAAATTGTGAGGAATCAGAGGGGGAGGCTGGGTGAGTTAAGGAATTAACTAGTGCATCAGCTGACTAGCGTGATAAAAGCTAGGAAGTGTTGTGGGGAGGACAGGAGTAGCTATACCCAGATTGAAGGTGATCCCAAGGAAGCAAGACCTCTCTGCCTCTCAGAGCCCTGATGAATAGGGGCTGATGGTCATAGGAATTAGGACTCTTGTTTTGCATTGTACAGATGTTGGTGGAGGGGGCTTGACTAAGTTTTCCTTTAGTGTCCACTCAGTATGAGAGTCTGAGCAGTTCCTGGGGTGGCCACGGATGCGGGGAAATGACACACATTCCATCACACTTATTTTTACCCTCAGGCAACCCCTGTTCTAAATGCCTCACCTCATTTTTAACTCAGCCTAAGAACAGAAACTATAGTTTAAAACACTTAACATATTTTAATTTTCACTCTTCTCACTTTTGGGGGGAAAATGCATTAAGTCTATGTGATGACTCCTAGCCCCTCATCTTGTTCGTTTCTGTTCGGGAAAGTGGGGAAGAGAACTCTCAACTCTCACAGATCAAATTATGCTTATATAAAATATTCTGGATGTATTACTACTATTAATATTAGAATAAATTTCCATGGTAGAAATAACTGGCTCATATATTACAGTGAGCTCACACAATTTCCATTTAACTGGAAAATTAACACAATCTGGGTCTTTATAATTCCTCTGCCACGATTTTAACAAATGTTAGTACCCTTATGGGATAAATCAATGAAATAGACTTTTTCTTCCCACAGGATGATAGTCTCCTGCTATTATGTAAATGGCAAGCCAAAACAAAAGACTTTATTACAAATAAATGTGGAGCCAAAGCACAAATATTTATTTTTAAAATGGGAGAGAGTGATCCTTTGACAATGTGTAATTTTTTAATATACTAAGCAACTGAGGTGAAACCTTAACCCCACTGACATCAAAATGGAGCCAGGATTTCACTCCAATTATATACAGTAGTTACAATAATTTGTCTGAAGGATATCTGTATGGAATAAACGCCACTTGCTCTCTATCCCACTATCACACTCCTGCTATCTGACTGTCACTGGCAAATTAATTCACCGCAGAGCAGGGGCTAGGCAAGGTCCTCCACACCACTTAAGCCCTCAGTGAAATTCACCTTGATTCACAGGACCAGTGCAAGGACCTCTGCTTTACCTAAACCACAGGCTTTGCGGTGGTGGCACTTACTAGGATCAATCCCTTCTTACACTACCTGTTGGTGCAGTGTGCAAGGGGTCACAGATTCCAAGGACAGAAGGGACCACTGTCATAATCTAGTCTGACCTCATGTAATAATTGGTAATAAAACTTCCCCAAAATAATTCCAGTTTGAACTACACACTGATCCCACATAGGCTGGTGCTGAAGACAGCAATGAAGTGTAGATGCTGGAATGGCCAACGGAAGAGCAAAAGCAGCCATTTAAACAAACTGCATAAATGAGGTGGAAGGACTGAAGCTACTAATGCATACCCTGGAGAATCAGGTGCAAGAGAACTATCTATTCTATTCGGGCTTTTGTACTGTGCTCATCACCATAGTTTCTGAGCACCTTCCAGTCATGCATTATGTGACTGTTTTTCTCTCATTCTCTCCCCAGAAGGAGAAGCATGTGTAATGGAGAGTCTTGTTTTTGGTAAGGTTTTATTTGTTTTAAATACATATATCTGTTGCTATGTGTTTGCATTAGAGGAAGTAAGATCAAAGAAATGCACCTTGCACTCAGAGCAGAAAGTATTGAGGTTTGTGTTGTTGTTAGTTTTTGGGAGAGTTCATTCCAGTCTCGGGCCATTCCTCACCCACACATGAAAGTTCTGTCTCACACACAGATTAGCTTTACTCTTGCTGTTGAGAGTTCCATTGTACCAGAGGAGTTGTCAACCACAGACTTTGTCCTGGCTGCACAGCAGATCCAGACCCTGCAAATGGCAGGGTGCGTGTCACCTCCCCAGTTCACCCTCTGATTTCTGTTTATGCAGGTGAGTGAATTCCACAAATGAAACATGCAAATGAGCAGTCCTTCTACACTGCGGTGAACTTCACCTATAGTCTGATATAATTGTATGCTTCAGCCAATCAGAGTATATTTTATCAACAGAAGGTGGCTTTGAAAAGCATACTGTACTTTTATTTTGATAAAGTCTTCAACTGGTTGGTTGTTGTTTTTTTGTATAGTTTGTTTGGTATTGGATAATTAACAATTATACAATGCTTTACAATCCCACAGCACATTGTAAGGTACATAGAGTACCCATGTACTTCATGGACCAAATTCTTCCCTCACAGTCTTGTTGGGAGCTATGTTCACACATTCACGGGCAAGATTTGGCTTGACATTTATTTCACATAAAATAAAGTTAACTTCTATAGCTAAAAAAGGATCAGCTATGCAACATTGTATATTGTATAATGCAACATATGGTACCATATTTTTGGCAACATAAAACTCTAAAATTAGGACTTCACTTCTCTGTTAAAATATGCTCAATTGTGGGAGTGTTCAATTTTATCTTTGTGCGTTTACATACCATTAAAAGTATTATAATCCACTTTTGTTTAGAAAATAAATCTCTATGAAAATTGTAGTTTGTTTGTCACAGGGCGACTCTAGCCAACATCTGTGTCAAATAAGTGATCAATTAACCCTTCTTAGTTATAAACCATCAACATTTATCAGTATTTTATTAAAAAACAATATGAATACAAAAATCCTACTTCATAATTTTATTTCTAAAAGTGTGGCCTTTTTATCAATTGGAAATAAGTTTCTCAACAAATATTGGGATATTTTAAATTAATATAGTTGTTCATCACATATCAAATACACTGACTATTTCAGCTTTTGTTGTTAAACTGCATCTTTAAAATTTTTTAAAAACAACAGTCTAGACAACACAATCTCTCTTTCCTGTCCACATTAGTGAACAACTGTGTTACACACATCCAGTCCAGTAGAAACCATACTTCAAACCACATTTACACAAACAGGGAATCTGTGATTGAATGATATGTTTAAACATGGCACAAGAAGAGTGCACACTACACCAGGTTCTAAAAAAAATGTAAAGAGTCAGCAGGGGAGGAGTTAACCATATTAAAAACTTTGGTAAAGGCATGTCTGCACGGGGGCACTCAGGAAAATTAAGGTGAATCAACTAAAAGTGTGAAGTCAATGCCTATAAATTAAAGCATGTTAAACCCCCATTTGGATGTTCTTGCTCAGGAGCAAAGTGGTCTCAGTTTGCTGTAACTTAATCTTCCTTTGCCAAGACAAAAATATACCTATCAAGAATCCTTACCACTATGTGATACTTGGAATCACTAATAACAGCCCTCTTCAGCATTACTGCTCTTACAATAAAATATATTTGTCAAGACATATAAATGGTGCATTCTCTGAGCATTCACTCTGAGAGGCACTAGCCTGCCCTCAAATAGTACGTGGAGCTCCTATCAATATTAACAAGAGCTTTTCATGTGCATCAAGGTAGAATATGGCTGTTCATGATTTAGCCGCTGCGCCCCCCCAACCCCCGCTTGCCAATACAGATGCTGTTGACAGAAGTGTTGTTCTTCATTGTGTTATCCATTGATTATAGCACATATGAAAAGTTGAGGGAAACTAGGCATGAAAATTGAGTGAGACAAGAGCCAGTCCACATCATCCCGCCAGTGGTTGTGACTATGGCATTATCTAATTTAAATCCTTAGCATAATAGAAAGTGCCATTTGCTCAGAAATAAGACAATGCAGTGCCAATAACTTTAGGACCTCTTCAAATTTACAGATTTTAGAAATAAGAATCTTGCAGACATGTAAAATTTCAATCTATTTCAGGAATGAAGTTGTTTTTCCTTTAATAACAAAAATTCTAAAACAATTCACAAAGTTCTTCAGGTTTTGTGAAACTCCAAACTTCTCCCATTCCCAGTCCAAAATTGGCAACTTTCTTTGGTAATAGATAAACTGACAGAGAGACTATTGGAATCTAAAGGATAAGGATATAAGGATATAAATTGTTCAAATAATAATAATATCTTCCTGACATACAAGAAACAAAATACAATAAGACAACATAAATAATTAATATAGTTCATTCACATTGCTTTTTTGTCATGATGTATATGTCAACCAACCTAGCATACAGACATGTGGCCTTCAGTATTTACCTTCTAAGCTTTCTTGTTCATCTGAAGTGAAAGTATCCAGCTGACTCTGTTCTCTCAAGAAATGGATGACGGCATATACTAGGTGTTTGACTGATGACATTTTAGAAGCTTATGAACTTCACCTAAATTATAAAAATATTCAGAGAAATATCAAGACCATAAGAATGGTACTTTAGGACCAATCCCTGAATACTCTACCCACCCCAAAGTCCCATTAACTTCACTAGGAATTTTGGATGTATAAGATATGCAGCAATAGATCTTCATCAAAAAGCATTGCAAGAAGAGTATCACTGGACATTTATTTATTTCAATAAGATTCATAAATCATAAGACCAGAAAGGACCATTGTGGTCATCCATTAGGACCACCTGCATAAAACAGGTCATAGGACTTCCTTGAATTAATTCCTGAAGGAGTTCATAAAAGTTCGTTATGGATAATTTAATAAATTAATTTTGCTCAAAGATATAGTTTTGATTTAATTTCTAAAGCACATACAACTGGAAGCAGGAATACTCACTCAAATCAAAAGCAATTTAAAAGTACATGGATAGATGTCTCACCACTGGCATAATTAAACACTTCCATTTTCTCTTTAGACTGAAAACTAAAACACTGTGACCTCAGTGCAAACTTGTGATTAGTGACATGCTGCTGACTCAGCCTGATTTGCATTCAGCATCTATTAGGAGTTACATAACTTCTCTTTGGAAGGAAAATTAGTTCCAACTTTTTCTGAGTTTTTTTCCTAAACTAGTAAACAAAATTTATTTTTGAAAAAGAGCCGTGTTTAACTATGCTCTAGAAAAAGATCTTAGATTTAACATATACTCGAAAGGCTACTACACCTGTAAAAAGCATCTTTGTTTATAGAATACTGGTTATACTATAGATGTGGTTCAACCATCTTAAGCAGCCATTCAGGAGGCTAGGAGAAGTGGGTTGCCTATTAGAGGTGATGTGTAAGTAATAATCTTACAAAATATACTGGATATTTTGACCCTACTTTCAAGTGATCCTTTGAAAGAAGAGGTATGCAGTAGAGCAGGTTTCACTGTATAAGGTACAGCAAAGATCACAATAATATACACTCATAGGTATCTAAATAATTGAAGACATATATAATACACGCATTCTAAAGATCATTGTCCGTTAGCTTTTGCCTTTTTCTATGGTTCACTACGTGCACTGACATGCTGTATACTAGATTTGACAGGCTCCCCCAGTCCAAGGCATCGCAACAAGCTCAGCGGTGTCAGGCACCAGCCAAGCCTGCCCATGTTCAGCCCCAGGAGCTCCTTGGCAACCCGCTCAATCGCGAAACTAGTCAATCTGGCTGAAATGGCTTTTCTCACCCATCTGCTCTGCCCCAGTTCAGGGTGTGGTGCCCGGGTCCGGAGCGGGCGGTGGCGGCTGCCCCCCGGGAGACCCTCCCCTGGCACTGCCTCGAACGGGGAAGGAGGCACAAGAGATGCCCTGCTGCACCCTCCCCTCTCACAGAGACACGGGGAAGAGCCCGATTCCCCCAGGCGGCGGCATTATCCCCGCTGCGACACGGGAGCGCCCAGAGCCACCGCACTGAGGATGGAGGGTGGCGACGGAACCCTTACCGTGCAGGGGGCGAGAAGCCCGGCCGGAGCAGGGCTGGCTACTGCAGGGTTCCCCTGTCCGGATGCTCTCTCCCCACGGCGCTGGCAGAGGAGCTCCGTGGTTGCCGCGCAGGGCGGGGGGAGGCGCGGCCGGCGGAAGTGGATGCGCAGCTCAGCGGAGCCGCCACTTGTCCGCGGGCACATGGTAGCGGAGCGTGCGCCTGGGCTCGGGCGCCCCTAGCAGCTGCAGCCCCGCCGCCCCCATGTTCTCCCTGTGCAGCGCTGCGGGCCGAGCGGTCAGCAGGTAGCGTCGGGGGCCCGACAGCCGCTGTGACTGCGGCGGGGGGAGAGTCTCGGGCTGCTGCGGGGCCCGCAGTGGCTACGCTACGGTGGGTGGGGAATGTCTGAGGGGCCGGTGGGGATGGGGGTGTCGGGCTGGACAAGGGTGACTACGGTGTAGGGGGGTAGTTGAGGGGTCGGTGGGGATGAGGATGTCGAGCTGGAAAAGGGCGCCCCCTGCCCGCCGAACCCCCCTGCTCTAAACCCCTTTCTCACTGAGGAGGGCGTGTCCTGCCCTCTGTCCCTTTATGCGGGCGGGTCATCCCTTTCCTGCACACCTCCCCCCAGCGGCGACCCTGGCCCCAAGCCTCTCCCCAACGCGGGGGGAGTCTCTGCTTGTCCCCTGTGAGGTAGGCTGCGAGCTGGCTTCCAGTCAGCTCAGGAGAGAAAAAAATCTGGTTCCCTCAAAAGCGGTTAGATTTGCGTGTGATAGTTTTCCCAGGGCATGTTCAGAGGCCCCAGATGAGAAATACCAGGAAAATAATAGTGCAGGAAACGTTAAGCCACGTGGGATTGCTTCCTTCAACATGTCAGACTTTCTACAGCCTGATAAAACCCTTGCTATTTACAGCACCCTCACGTGCAGTATCGATCAGACCCGGTCTCTGCCTTGAAATTCTTGCAGTCTAGTTAGTTCCAGACCTGTAGCAACAGAAATGGGCAAGGAAACAATGGAGTGGAGACACAGAGGAAGGATGGGGTAGGAGCAGTGAGATATTTTCAGCAAAGGCATGAGTACAGCCAGATGGAGCAATTTGTAATTTTATATATTAAAATAAATGTCATTAACTCACTGCAGCTAGTTGTAGCAGAAATGGGTCTTCAAGAGGGTTTTAAATGAGAGAAGGGTTGTGTCTTTGTGGGCCAGCTGAGGATAGATGTTCAGTGCAGTGGGGGCAGTGTGAAAAAAGGCATGTAGACTGTTGTGGAAGAAGTAGACAAATGAGGCATCATTTAGGAGTTGAATGAAGGGGGAGGATGGGCAGATCCATGTAGGGCCTTGAAGGTGGGAACAAGAGATCTTCAAGGTGCGGTCAAGAAGCTTGTGTAATGGAGAAAGAAAAGCCAGTGGAAGGGTTCACAATGTAAATACTTTGCAGCAATGAGAAAACAAGATATTTGTGTTGAATGGAACTAAATTTGAGTGAAGATGAGAGGTGACCTTTGCAGTAATGGGTATTTAAGAAGTAATGCAAATACTGTGTACATAATACTGCTCTACAGCCAAAATGCTTCTGAAATAAATGTAGTCAAACTTTACTAATTCTGGGTCACTGAGAACGAAAATGATGCTTAAAATTGTTGATTGGCTCTAGTTTTCAAGATATGCTATTGGGTCAGTATATACGACCCTTGACTTGGGAATGGCGGAGGATAAGTGAGTTATAAAGGGAAGGGAGTCTCAATTTAAACCAGAAATGACTAGATCTATGACTGGATCTATGAATAAATCTTTGACTGGATCTATGAATAAATCTT